CACGCCTCTGTTTTCTAGGCATGACGGGAAGAGTCGAATGGGTTTTCCGATTGAGCGGCTCTATGTAACCGACCAATAGCAGCAGGTCAAGCAAGTCACGTGATATTAACTTGCGGGTGCAGCGCGGTTGCACTGCGGTACACGCACGTACACGCGGGTACAGGCACGTACACGCACGTACACGCGGCGGTTGATTATCTGGTCCTATCCTCTTGGGTTTGGGTTACATTATTGTATCTAAGTGTAAGCGTGCAACAGCTAGTCGCGCCGCGAAAGCAATGGTGCGTGCAGCGTATGGTTGGACGTAGGAATCGGATTTGGACGGAATTTACAGGAAACTGTCGGAAATAATAGGTGAAAGAGAGTAGGCCTATAGTAATAGAATTTGGTAGTAAATAGGTCCTAGAATCCTAGATTTCGTATTTAGTCCATGCCGTATTTCGTATTTATGCCAGCAGAGCATATAAATCACGTTGATTTATATGCTCTGTAGATACAATAATGTAACCCAAACCCAAGAGGATAGGGTACGTCCTATCCTCTTAGGTTTGGGTTACATTATTGTATCTATATGCTCTGGTACCAGGGTACGTTCCGGTATACCGGACCGTACCCAGGGTACATTCCGGCAGTACCCTAGGGGACATAAACCCTCTCAGCATCACTATCCGGTTACACTAGCATTATTGTATCTGGTGGCTGCATCATGGTGCTGCAGAGCGGCCGGATGCAGTTCCCATGTGTACCATTGTTCAATAATACTAGACTGTAACTGGTACTCATCTATTACTATCACACTTACATCTAGACTTGTCTACCTTCAGAAAATGTGTGAACCATATGCTTCGAATACAGCGCCGTGTGATTGCTACTAATCATTTGCGTTGACTTCACTGTAGAGTTCGTCAGCACGATACAATACCAGGATGGCTGTTGGAAAAGGTTGCAGAGTGTACAGGAACAGTTGCTGGATGCGAATAACTTGATAAACAAGTTGCGAGGTGAAAAAACAACACTGGAATCTAAACTAGTGCATGCACGGTAAGTATACAAAGAACATATATGCACAAATGCAATGTACGTTACATCAGCAGTACATGTAGCTCCAAGAAACGGTATTGCTAGGGTTAGAATACCCGTCGCACAATACAGTATAGACAATCCGCCAGTATAGACAATCCGTCGCACAGCCTGGTCGGGCTACAGTACATGTAGATCTATAAAATCTGGCTACACTTTAAAAGGAAACTGAAAAGACATGCAAAGTTGATGCATGTCGTCCAACTTTTCGTAAAATGTGCACATAGACAAGACACTAGAGTCACTAGTCCTAAAAACAACCTGAGCTTCTTCAAAAGAATATACTACCGATATCAAACAGTAGAAGCAAAGTGTTGGCGCATTTCACTTCACTCGGATCAAATTTTGAAGACTGCTCTGTAGTATCGTAGATATAGAATCTGTAATATGTATAGTTAAGTTGAGCAATCTTCCAGTGAAAGGCTTAGTCTCAATAGATCGCAGTGTGGTGGCTGCTCTACTAGATACGACACCACGACTGGCACCTAGGTCGTCTACGAAGGATTTGGCACCAATACCTTGCATGGGTTGGATATCGTATCGACTCTGTGACTGCCTGCGCACGCGTTCTGCGCCGACAGCAACGTCCGTGTACTGTGGCTTTTCCACCGAAGAGCGAATCTCCGCATATTACTGCCTCCCAAGGCAAGTGGCACATAACGGTATCGTCACATTTCTAGGCGGGATTCTGACTTAGAGGCGTTCAGTCATAATCCCCCAGATGGTAGCTTCGCACCACTGACTTTTCGATCAAGCACATGTACCAAATGTCTGAACCTGCGGTTCCTCTCGTACTGAGCAGGATTACTATTGCAACAACATGTCATCAGTAGGGTAAAACTAACCTGTCTCACGACGGTCTAAACCCAGCTCACGTTCCCTATTAGTGGGTGAACACCCCACCGCTTGGTGAATTCGGTTTCACAATGATAGGAAGAGCCGACCGAAGGATCAAAAAGCAACGTCGCTATGAACGCTTGCTGCCAAGCCAGTTATCTCCTGTGGTAACTTTTCTGACACCTCTTTGCTTAAAACTCCTAAAGTCAAAAGGTCGATAGGCCACGCTTTCACGGTCTGTATTCGTACTGAAAATCAAAATCAAGCGAGCTTTTGCCCTTTTGCTCTACGCGAGGTTTCTGTCCTCGCTGAGCTCGCCTTAGGACACCTGCGTTACCCTTTGACAGATGTACCGCCCCAGTCAAACTCCCTGCCTGACACTGTCTTCGAGGCGGATTGCCGTCGGCACTACACCGACGGTTTAATTCGCCTCACAATCTTATTTGAAAAATCTGCAGCCTACAAGAAACAAGATTTTAAAATTCACAACTATAACCATGTGACAAAATGCCTATACAGCTTTCAACATCAACTAAAACATCAACTGTATATCTTAAATCAATTACATCATTCACAAATGCAACGTAAGTAAAAACCCATCTGGTCACTGATATAGTTCTGGATATATGGCTTATTGGCCACACCTCTGACCAGGGCATTTGAATAAAACTTCACTTTTGACTAGTCAGTCAAGGTACAAAATCGCGAAAGCGTAATGGAGGACAGCGCTCGCGATGGGGATTGCGCCTTGGTACAGCAGGTGGCGGATGACCTGCTGGCATTGGGACATCATGTGCGTTTGGCGCGAAGTCAGTTTCAATGTCGTCATCATCATCGTTGTGGTGATTGTGAGGGAAAGGACCACTATAGAACTTGAAACGAGAACAGTTACGCGTAATGTAGTGATTGCCACAACGAACTATGATACGAGATCCGCGCTTTCTCACCACTTTGTATGGCTGCGGAAGATATGGTGACTGATGCTTTGGAACCATTCCATCTCTACGGACAAACACCGTGTCACCAACAGTGATTCGAGATGTGCAAGTTTTACCGTGGTTGTCGGCATAGCGCTTCATGCGTTGCTTCTTTTCTTGATCGCGATCGCAGACGAAAGGCTCAACTTAACTATACATATTACAGATTCTATATCTACGATACTACATTAATGTAGTATCGTGGATATAGAATCTGTAATATGTATAGTTAAGTTGAGCAGCGGTTATTGTTTGATTCTGACACTAGGTGGCAGCAGGTCACAAGAGCTGATGACAAGCTCAAGCAATACCGCTCAACTTAACTATACATATTACAGATTCTATATCTACGATACTACATGATCATAAATCTAAGCAGAATATAGAGATGATCCAGAGGTGAGTGCCTGGCTACAGATATCATCAACAGGCATCGTAATAGCAGCAGTGTAACAGATGTTAAAGGAATTGGGTTGAAAGTCTTCGGAGACAAATGTATCTAAGACACAATTGGCCATGCTCTAGCTACAAAATTCTTAATGATCTGGTCGACATGCCAATGAAGCAGTATGTTACACCAACATAAACTTAACTAGATCCAGCTATTATAAAAAAAAGTATGCCAATATTTTCTTTTAGACTCCTAAAAGTACCATATTGCCTTTGTGGAACATACTATTGGCTTCTATAGCCGAAGCATCCACCTTGGGAAGTGGGGAGCTAGGCATCCTCCCCTTATAAGCCTGGCCACACCCATCTGTTGGTATTGCTTAGTGAAGGTGTTGAGCTGAGCCAGCTGGGTCGTACCCAGAGCCCTCTACGGTAGCCAGATTGATTTAAAGAGGAAGGCCTGAAGGCATTGTCACATTTACCTTGTGCCCCTTCTCCAAGTAACATTATGACCAATTGAGACAGACATTACTACTTTATGGATATATTTCAGGTAGATGTCTGTTTCATGCTTTTGTGTTCTCTACATTCCAATTTGTTATTGGTTTCTGTTCATTAATGTAGTTTTGCATAATATATGTTGCTAATGTATTGGAAATTATGTGACAATCTTTCCAGGTGGCAGATTGAAAATGAGATGGGGAAGAGGCAGAAGGCTGAGAATGAAATTGAGAAATTGGTATGTTTTGCCTTCTGATGTCATTTCTGACATTGAAAACGCTTACATGTAATATACGCTGATACGTAATACTGTACTACTACACTACTAGTGTATATATATATATATATATATATATTTATATATATATATATATATATATATATGTAATTATATATGTTCGTGGTAGTATTAAATAATATATGCATAGTATTACAGTAAGTATAGTACTGTATAGTGCTATACAGTATATTAGGGACAGAACCCATCGCCACAAAACAATCCCACCCAACTCACCAATTCACCTATCTGCCTGGAGTGATTGGCAGGTAGCGGTAGTTGACCATTTTTGCAATAGGGCATAAATAGTGAAATCTGAAAATAGTGTTTTGTGAATAGAAAGTGCCACAAAATTTTGGTACAAGTCAGGAAAACACAAATCAGTCTAGCTTGATCAACCTAATAATACAATGGACATTGACCCCTGTACAATGTCCAAGGGGCATAGAGTTATCAGGCTCAGATTGATAATATAGTATTTTTTTGCTTCAGGAAGAAAAGCTGAGCATGATACGTAAGGTTATGCAGAATTCAGGTCAGAACCAATCTGAAGAAGATAGACGAATGACCATGCTCACTCTGCTAGATAGGCGCCCTTTGACTGCCGGTGCCACCTACAGGAAGTACGATTAATATATGACAGTTATATGATCTGATTATGCCTCAAGAAACCTAATTAAGCACTTGGTAGTAATGCTGGATTCTGTTTTCTATTCAGTAGATGATATTGTGTGCATATGCCACTTCTCTTTCTGATGTTACTTTTTTTTCACCATCTCAAGGGCATTGATTAAACATGATACAATTATATTCAAATTTGATTAGAGAGAAATCACAGTTCTTGCAATAGATGAGTGCCAAGCACAACTACCTGCTATATTAACACCAGCAGCAAGTTAAGATCTGTTATTATACAAGTTATGCCGAGTCACTTTATTGTTATTCTCTTTTATAAGACAATTAAATCACAGTATCAGCTGTGTTAAATCTACTTTTCTGCAATTGCAGCCAAAGCAGGGTGTATGGTGCAGGGGACAGGTACACAGGTGAGGACATGTCCTGCGCTTCACTTAACTCGGCTTCTATCACTGGCGACCTCCTCTCTACCTCGCAATGTAGTGGGAGCGACTGTACGAATTGCAGTGAACTGCTGCTGACACCTGTTGTGAGGAACACGAAACGAGTGGATACTACAGAGTTGCAAGTGGAGCGGCCGCATGCTGTGTCAAAAAGGCGGCGCGGAGAGGTGAGCTAATGTGGTAATTGAAGTATGTGATATAACGTATAATGTAGCAGCTGTCAGTAAAACTCTAGCTATGATCAGGACGCCGATAGTGACAGTAATGTTAGCATGGTGACAGCGATTAAAACGGTGTACGGTGACGAGCTTGCAAACTCAAGTTATTTTTTCCAATCTACCGTCATTAAATACATAAATGGATAAATGTTGACGGCGACGTTAGGAGCGGCGATGACGACAACGGATGATGATGATAACAATGATGGTGATTGTTGTTATAATGATGATAAGTTTATGAGTATAGAGATGGTGATAATGATAGTGATGATGAAGCTGCCTACAGAAAGAGTAACGGTGATATTACCAATGATATTAGCATCTTCCGTGATGTTAACAAAAATAATGGACAACAGTAATATTTTGTCATAAGCTGCAGCTGTACCATAGATGCCTAATGTGCATTTCCAGGATGGCGAAGTGAAACAAGTTGAGCAAGAAGAGTCACTGATGAGCAAAATCAGCGTCGTTTTGAGTGATGTTTCGGATGTCACAGACAGTAATCCTTTTGACTTTGCTCAGCTTCCTCCCCGAAAGATGTTCAGAAGAAGCATGAGTGAATCCCAGCTCAGCATCTCTCGATCACGTCAGTACGAATCATGAGGTTTAGAATCAATTGTTAATTACGACTCCCAGTTCAAAAATTATAACTTAAGGTGTAACATAATATTCTATTGTATTTATTGTAAATGATCAGGTAACCCATATACGAATGAAAACCAATCAAAAGGATAGACAGGTAACTGTTTCACAGAGGTGGCTGTTGGTACAGGTTTGACTGTGCTCACAATACCCTACCTACACAGATGTATGGGCACAGGGACACGTGCAAACACATAGACACGGTCTCACAAGAACATTTATCTCGGTGGACACAGAGTGATTCTGGTCTGGAATATAAAATATTTGTCACATATGTCACTAGGTGGCACCACCTCTTAGAGGCGTAAGTTTAGTAAAATGTTTTGCCAGGCTGTGGCAAGGTCGTTTGTAATTAATTATAAAAGCTATCACAAGCACACAGACCATGCAATTTTTTAGCATGGGGGAATGGTATGGAATGGCATTTATTTGTATTTTGTAAAAGCATGCAAAACCCTTCACCCTCTTTCCTGGTAATTGTAGAAGGCCCCTAAGTATAGCTATGTCTAGTGTAGCTCATAGATATATCATTGCAGATATTGATGTGGATGAAGCTGAGGAAGTCACACCAGCTGTGGCCCAACGTGAAGGAGGCAGGTGTCACAGTGCAACGAATTCACCGGGCAACTCACGCTCAAGCCATGTCATAATGGTGTAAGTATGGTGCACATGTGAATTATATATGCACAGATACAGTAAGACCTATATTCAACTACAGCATGATAAGGTAGTGCATTACAATAAAATCAAAGGCCATTAGCCTAAGTAAAATGCATGTGATACACAGCAATTGTAGTACCAATAAAAAATCCCATTTTATTTCAAATGCTATATGAAATCACAATTAAAAATTTGGTTTGAACCATATTTTTATTGTCACACTTCTAAGGATGGCTCAGGTATTTCCATTGATCTGTCTTTATTGTGTTAGGCTTTTTCACATCTCACCCACTTGCAGGTCCCCAAAGAGTGGCCTTCACATGGGTCTTTACAAGGTCCATGATTTCTGCTCCAAAACCGTCTTCACTCTTGAGACCTGCGATCCATGTCAAGGTCGTATCAAGTTTGGCAAGACGGCATTAAAATGCAGAGGTTGTATAGTTTCCCATTATTTGCCAACACTGTGTTGTGTATATGGCAACATTGTAGTGTAAATTATAAACTGTAAGTGTTATCTACGCACACTGCGAGTTTGCGATATATTTGTAAAGTTTGACTACGTGCCGTTCCAATGTGGTGCTGATCGAGGATCTCAATTCTAGTAGTAGCATATATGTATTGCTGCTTGCATGTTTGCCATTCGATGGACAAGCAAGTACCAGCACGTACAACTGCAAAGTTCCTCCAAGGGCTATTTTTAAGTGACTGTCCTTGAATGAATTTTATTACACAATCGCATATACATTGTCAATTCAACTTTATCACTGGGTCTCACACAGCTATCTCTACATTTAACAGATGTTCAGAAGTATTTTTGTGATTTCTGGTATAAAGGAACTAGCTAGTTTCTCATGTGTTCATTAATTTGTGATGCAACCAGTTTGTAAGTGTGCAATAATTGATTTGCTTACTGTTGTGAAGATTGCCGGATCATTTGTCATGAGAGGTGTGGAAGTCATGCCACTGTGCCATGCATCCCCTACCGTGTACCAACCATGGCCACTGCAGTGAACTCCAAGGTATATTATATTTATCTAGAAATTCAATAATATTAAAAAACCTGCAGAAACATGAGCTAATTAGGGCATCCTGAGTTTTAGTCTGACTTGCAGTAAATCTGAAAACAAGTAGAGACATGGCAAAGAAAATTATTGCCGTTAATACCGAGAATTTTTACCTGTGCTGAATTTTGATCCTATTGTGGTCATTACTGTTTAATTAGACACTGCAGGGGATTATATAAAGGAGATAGTGAGAAACTATATATTAGTCCCTCGATATTAAGCCTACTAAAAAGCTGTAGTAACAATTAAACCAACCATTGAAACATTTCATGCAGGGGGTTGTTGCTGACTATGCACCGTTAGATGGTGCCAGGGTTCCTGGTCTCATAGTGCGATGTGTCATGGAGGTGGAAGCAAAAGGGTTGTCGGAGATTGGCATCTATCGTATACCGGGGTGAGTGTAATCCCTTGCATGGTCGCAAAACATTTTTGTAGGTCCGTGCACACACGTCGTTTGACCGGTGACTAAGAAGTGTAGTACTAATTGGTGAAATATTCATTTTATGGACTAAAATGAATCCCTAACTTGGTTACCTCTAAAGTATGTCCCGTACTTGATTGTCACTAAAGTGTGTCCCTCACTGAGTAGTCACTAAAATGCAGTCCAGTCTCTCACCGCAATTGAACTGAATTTGTTTCAGGTCGGTCAAAGAAGTGAAAGAGCTGAGTGATGCCTTCATGAAAGGAAAGGGCCCACAATATTTGGTATATATATGCACTAGTATTAGTGTGATTCCTATACTTTTAATTTGGCCGTGTATTCCACGACCATGCCATTTCTTTGCCCATCTCCACAAGCAAGACAATAAATTGAAGGCTGCAGTTAATCTATAGGAACAGTCCATGCAGTTTTGAAATATGTTTTTCGTGTCACATCACCGATGTTTTTGTGTGTAGGCAAAGATGAGTGAAATACACACGGTATGCAGTGCCATTAAGGCATTCTTGCGTGATCTGAGAGAACCGCTCATCACCTACCATCTGTGGAAGGACTTCACCAGTGCTGCTGGTAAGCCTGTCTGCTACTCCTTGTTCCATGTCACCGTACCAAATTTCGTTTGTTCCATGCAGCATTAATGCTTTTCTGGCATAGCGTGTCTTGCAAATTTCTCTAAATAAAGGTAAAAGTTGTTACTTAAACTGATGACTTTGTTCAACTTGATTTAGCAACACACCAACTAACATCTTGATGTTGTATGATATATGAATAGATACTGGTTGGAATATAATACCAAATTTAACTGAATGATATCTATAGAGAAAGATAGTGTGGAACTGCTGGTGACCGCTTTGAACAGGCTTCCTATTGCTAACAGACACACACTTGCCTTTATGGTGGCACATCTGCAAAAGTAAGTTGCTTTTTTCAGACTTTGTTGTTTGCCTTAAGGCCGTCGCACACCAGCCGATTTTACAAACGATGAAGCGATGAAGCGATGTAGGTGTGCGGCGGCCTTAAAATCGGCTCATCGGTTCAAAATCAAACATGTTTGATTTGGAACGATCACCCGATAAAAATAAAATCGTCTACAAATGAACGCGCACACCTACATCGCTTCATTGCTTCATCGCTTCATCGTTTGTAAAAATCGGCTGGTGTGCGGCGGCCTTTACAAAACGTCCTAATCAGAAAAAAAAATTCCGGTTGCCTATATAAGCAGCTAATACCCATGTATTCAAGAAAGATGTATAATACATTCCCAGAATCTAATAAAACACTGCTACTTATATAATAAGCTTTAAATTCCCCTTTTGAGTGCTAATCAATTGTTACTGTTTGAAATGTGCATGCTAAAACTAGCTATAGGTTGTATAATTCCTTTCTTGTTGGTATGGGTATGGTAATTTTAAACCCCAATCAAAACCCATATAGTATCAGTTTCCTAAAACTAACTTTGTGGTGGAAATTGGTGGGTCACAATGTTGGAAACATGTGTACTGATTAGGGAGTTCATGTTAGAAATGTCTATTGTTGGCAATAGCCATAAGCTAATAATTTGACTTGCATTTTATTTTAGTGTCAAAAGGAACAAAGCAACACAAATGACAGTGATCGGCCTTGCACGTATTTTTGGACCATGTCTGGTGGGCTATAGTGACCCCAACATCAACGCCAACGCCATGCTAATGGAGTCCCGACTACAGTCGGCTGTAAGTGAGATTGGCCAGCAAACACACTGCAGCAGCTGTTACAAAAACCTGTAGTAAATACCTGTAACGAACCATATGTTTGCATGTACATGTGCATATATGCGTGTGTGTGTTTATGTGTGCGTGCATGCGTGCGTGCTAGCGTGCGTGCGTGCGTGCGTGCGTGCGTGCGTGCGTGCGTGCGTGCGTGCGTGCGTGCGTGTGTGTGTCTGTGTGTGTGTGTGTGCATGCGTGCATGCATGTACATTTGTGCGTGGGGTCGTACATGTGTGCATGATCAAGCATGCCTATGTGCATGTGTGTGTATGTGTACATGTGTGCATGTATACGTGATTGTGCATTCTTGGATGCATGCGTGCATGTATGCGTGAGAGTGGCAACTCGCTGTATAAGATGTGTGTTCATGCCCAGGTTGTGGAGCTACTCCTGAGACTACCGCACAGCTTCTGGGATGGAGTCTTGCGCACAGAGCTGCCACCTAGGGAAGGCACAACCAAGACACACCTGACACTGCCTCCCACCGTGGCTATCTCACCAAGGACACCCGACACTCTGCCAGGTGTGATTCAGAAGCCATAGTCAGGTTCATAGAACAATCTGTTCCACTATTTTGTTGCTGCCTTGAAAGATACAAAAAATACAAAACAGGTTTTGAATAATTAGATATTGGATCAAGCTAATGATATTCAGATAATTAATCTTTAGCTAAACAATTAGATAGTAATTAAACAGCCCCAAATTATTGGCAGAATAATGATAGATGTGAAAGGTGGAAGGATAAACTAATGCCTATCATATGATTGTAGAACTAAATAATTATGCTGAACTACACAGATTGGTTGACCTATGTGCCATTGTGAATGACCATTATGATCATATATGTTTCATGTGATTATATGGATAAGACTAATACCAGTAAGTATGCAGAAATGGTGGAAAGTGCCAATTTGACCACCAAACATGCATACGGATCATTGGCTACGCTTAAAATGTTTATCAGTTGAACTCCTTGGCCAAGAGCTTTCTCTGACCACACACTGTTCCACAGTCTGTCACGTCTTTGTATTTCTCTTTTGGCAGTCTCTCATCTGCATAGCATGCTGGGCTCACTGCGGGGTAGTAGCAGCAATGCCACTTGTACGAAGTCCCCTGGATCAGCACCTCCTGTCAACACTGACAGCACTCAACGAGGAATCGGCAAGAGTCAGAGGTATAAACAGCTGCCATTTAGAATGCGGTTTGGAACGGTCTGGCTACCTACTGTCGATATACCCCCGCCCAAATCAAGCTATGCACTTTTTAAGCTATATTGGTAGGCGTTTATTTAATTGTCTTGCATCTTTTTTACAATAATATTGATGAAATTAACGATTTCTCACTCACACCTTCCTTATTTCTGTTGCCTATTACAGATGGTCATCGGTGAAAGGTGGTAAGGTTGTAAAGCAATTTTTCGCATCTCCCCAGCTACATTAGAGCCATCTAAATCGACACCAACTGTATCAGTGTCATTTGGAGCTGCATCAGCCTGACCCTTGCCATTGCGTCAGTGTGATAATGAGCACGTATAGTTGAATTATATCCAATTAATATTTATAACAACAAATTAACAGCAGAGTGTTTATATCAAAGTATTTTTGCAATCAAAGAACTATGAAAAACAGGAGCAGAATAAAATCGATATAATATTTCTTTATTAACTGTTTTAATTGTGGATGTTTTTGTATTTGCACTTGTGCTGGAATATTGTTTTTACACGTATTTGTGAGGTAAAATGTATTGTAACATGGATTAAAATGTCACCTTTATTGTATGTTTGTTGCTAAATAAATTTCATAATCTAAATTCTTGAGTGTGCCATTTTTCTGTAGATAGGTAAATAAATGATTTAACTAATTAATTATTTCTGACAAAGAAATAATTAAGCTATAAATCACGTGTACAACTCCAGCCTGAGTAGGCGTACGTTGTTAGTACATGTATTGTGTATCCCACGTACCCAAACCAATATCAGCAAAAATGAAGCAGTGTAATTAGCAGTGGCGGATCCAGGAGGGCGTAAGAGGGGCCTCTCCCATTTGTTGCCCCCCCCTCCTATTCGGCGCGTGAAGCGTGAGCACCGGCACTATCACAAAATCCGCACCCCCTAAAATGAAATCCTAGCTACGCGGTTGCGCCCCCCCCCCCATCTCAATATCCTGGATCGGCCCCTGCAAAGAAGAGCTAGCAACATGCTTCATATTGGTGGATTACAGGAGAACATGTAGCGTAACATTACGCCACATAGGTTATTATAACAGGCATTACAAAAACGTAGAGAGAAGAGTAGAGCCATGAGTCATGTTGTACATAATATAGTACACCACTTTACTGCAATTCCAGCAGGAAACCAGGGGCGGATCCAGGATTTTTGAAAAGGGGGTGTCAAGGAAGAAATAAAGAGCACTTTTTCCTGCTTACTTTTTCTGGTTTTTTAAAAAGCTGCCGAAGGCCACTTAGGGGGGGGACCGGACCCCCCCCAAGATTTAAAAAATAATTGGTGCATTCTGAGAGCATCTGAGCAGTAATTTTGATGTCTAGAATGCAAAAATAAGTAAATCTTTATCAGAAAAACTAGCGCTAAACAAGATTTTTTTATGGAGACAATATAAGAGAAGTGTGTGTGTGTGTGTGTGTGCGTGTGCGTGTGCGTGTGCGTGTGCGTGTGCGTGTGCACGCGTGCGCGTGCGTGCGTGTGTGTATGTTTTTTTCCCTTTTTTGTGGTAAAAAGGGGGGGTCCGGACCCCCTCGACCCCCCTTCTGGATCCGCCCCTGGAAACCTTGCATCCTAATACTCTCGAACAGGATAGAGTTCATGCATGTCACTCACTACCAGTGCCTGCCTATATACGTGCCGCTGACAGCATCAATTATTTGCTTGTGACGGGATTGAACTATAGGTTTATTTGCAAATATCTGTACTCTTTTTATAATTTGGCACAGATTTTGATCCGCCTATACATTCACCTAATCCTTGTGCGAAAATGCATCTAAATTAACCAAACATACACGTACACTATACTAGGCCTAACCGGCGAAGAAAACGGCTAAGCGATAATCGAGAACTGTCGATAATATGCAAGTTTTGTACCTGGAGATGGCGCCACTAACTCAGAAAACGTTTCTCGTTGCCGCGCTATCTGATTCCCGTTTTGCGAAACCCCCGCAAGTCCCGGAGTCCCGGAGTCAGTGACGTACCTAACGCGTCACAGTCCTGGCTCCGCCTTGAACTATATCCGGTACTTCTGCGAAATGATTACTGTTCCCCTTAGTCACATAATGCCTACTGCACGGATCCGAAATATTTCGGTCACGTTCGCAGTATTTCGTATTCTTGCTAATGTTGCCCCCATGTTGCCTGCCGGATGCCATGTCGTGGGAAGCTTAGTCATCGGTATAGTCATGGCCAGCTATAGTGTGTAGTCATAGTTAGATCACGAAGCCGCTGTCACTCCCCCACCAAAAGCTCGTCGTTTTATTCATGACGGTTTACATTTTATTTATTCAGATTTGTTCGATATGTTTCGATCTTCCTATTCATATTGTGCGAAATCTGCCAGTATTTCTAATATTAATGTTATGTACTTTGAGATTTAGGCACTGCCTAAAAGCGGAGCTCCCGATAGGTGACTCCACGATAATCTTATCTTACGTCAACGTCCCCAAAACAGCAAAGAAACAAACATTTGTTGTTTGCGGTCTGTTTTCCCTTTTTTTGCAGCATTCTCCTCTTGACGCCATTATAAGTACTCAGTTGAAAATTGATCCCCGCCAAAACAACAGGCAAATGAATTTTTCTAGGTGGTACCACAGGGTTCCCATGTGTACATGGACGTACGGACGAACGCGACATCAAAAATGAAGTCAATGGGTTACCATCTCAATTGTTTCTTTAGTGTGGTGTTCTGCTCGCGCGGGGCTTCAGCCAGCGCGGGAGCTCCGCTATTATATGAGCAAATTTCCTATTTTATATCTATTTATATATTGCTGACAAATTACGGAACAGGAACTAACTGGTTACCGCTATATATGAACATTGATTGGCCGGCTCTCATTATGTGATGACGTCTTCACTCACCTTTCGGGCTTAGGGAAAATACACTATTTTGATTGACTGTGTCTTTGTAAACAGCTCACCTGTCGTGGATTAAAAGCAACTATATGTATCCAGGCCCGTAGCCAGGGGGGGTTCGGGGGGTTCGAACCGAACCCCCCCCCCCCCCCCGAGCCCCGACGCCCAAGCAAAAAAATTTTTTTTTTGAAAAATTTGCAAGAATTTCACCTCAGGTCCTCCATTTTAGTGTAATAATTGCAAAATCTCCATCGTGCGGAGGGTGAACAGTGAAACCCCCCCTCCGACACCCTCCCCGCCCGCTCGGTCGCTTGGCTCCCCTCGCCTGGTCGCTTTCGCGCCCCGAGGCAGGGGCGTGTACAGGGGGGGTCAGGCAGAGTCCGACCCCCCTTGCTCGCGCAGAAACGCATCTGAGGGGGTGTAATTTTAAAAAATTTCGGGGGGAGGGCCCCCAGACCCCCCCTTCGGCGTTCTTCGCAAACTATGGGTTACGGTTAGACCCCCCTCGTACAAATCCTGTACACGCCCCTGCCGAGCAAATTGCCAACATTGAAAAACGAACCCCCCCCCCAATAGAAAGCTGGCTACGGGCCTGCGTATCAAGAGTACATAATAGAGATCTGTATTATGTACTCTTGATATGTATATATCATAAATATTGTGTAGTTTGTTCTTGTGTTTACTGTGGCTCTGTCATAAAAATTGATGTTGTCATTGAGTTGTGTGTTAATTTCTGTTAGCATCACAGCCACTGGGAGAGCAGACTACAAAAAAACACACACACACAAACTGACAGTCAATAAAAAATATTGACTTGATTTTATTTAATTGCCTCTGTCTCGCGTTCAGGCAACGTTCTCTTCATGATTCTTTATTTGAAATGCGATAGTGACGTAGATTCATAATTACGGCAAAACAACACTACACATTGCCATGCGATGCCGTTCAGAGCGATGCGTACGTCACCAGCGCGTACTAGGAAGTTCATGACGTCATGCATAAATTTCCCACATCCGAGGTGATTGGACATTGAGCTGATGACGTTTTCAGTCGTTTACAGCCGATGAATGCTTTATACCTCTTCCGCGAAATAGATCCAACTATCTGCATAATTTGCATGTATACGGAATGGTCACATTGAAATTTTTGGTTAAAATATAGCAGAAATGCGCAGTTTTTATATATAAGTATAAGAGTTAGCATTTTTGTGTCAGAAATATAATGTGGGAAACGATGCGCAGTGGATCGTAACGGCGCGCATTGATACATGCCGCGGCGCGTATACAAACTGCGGTTTGTTTTGAAACTCAGACAAGTCGTGGTTGCGAGCGAGAGTAGTTGTTTGTACGTGTGCGGAAGCTACATCAACTAAACATATATATATATATATTTTATTGCGTGGAAGCCAACTGCGCCTACTGTGTGATTCAACAGCATACAAGCATGCTAAGAAGAAATATAGGAAATCTTAGTGTGTTCTTGCCAAACTCCAACATGAATTTTCTTTCGGATAAAGAACGACAAGGTAGGCCTATGTTATTGTTGATGTTATCATGGTTGTCGGGATAACGGTTAGTCGGTGGATAACTTTTTTAGTTTTTTTTGTAGCCTGTATTGACGTGTCATTCTTTGTGTCTATGATAATGTCATGAAGTCAACTTTCAATGTTACACCTGCAAAGTAAAAATAACCGTATGTCAGTAGTATGAGAGAACTGAGTAGAAAGTCTGTAGATCATGTAGGCCTACTATGTAGTAAATTACTAATGTAATAATCTAATATCTATGTCATCGTATTTCGGGTAATCACTTCAAAATATCAATGTAATTTCATGTAGTTATTCATGTGGTGTTTCATTAATATTCCAGGTCATGGATGTGAACGTGAGTCTTTGGAGCTTGAAGATATATACACTGTAAGAGAAATGCTCGGCAGTGGAGGTTTTGGGACAGTCTACGCAGGTATTCGAAAGAAGGATTGCGTTCCTGTTGCCATAAAACATATAGCTAAGGAGAAAGTCACAGAGTGGGGACAGGTAAGAAAAAAATCATTGATTTTCTCTACTGTTTCGCAATGTATTTCAATGTATTTCGCAAGCATGCTGTGAACTTTGCGTTGGCCTACCCCGATTCGCATCAGTGGCCTGTCTCAGATCATTGACCCATATTTAGTGTGTGTGCACATGCACTGTGATGTGTTCCTGTAGTTGTAGTTCAACATGTTGAATACATTATAGAAGTGCATCATTAAGTTAAATCATTTCAAAATTTGTCATTTGGAGAATGACAGGGCTAACACGAATTTCAAGGGCATATATTTGTCAATTTATAGATGAATGGGCGGAGATGTCCGCTGGAAGTGTGCCTACTGCGAAAACTCGACAACGTTCAAGGAGTGATCCGCATGTTGGACTGGTATGAGCAATCGGACAGTTTCGTGATCGTGATGGAGCGGCAAGAACCCGTGCAAGACCTTTTTGACTTTATCACGGAACGTGGCCCACTTGGCCAGAGCTTGTCGCGGAATCTCTTCCACCAGGTGGTCAGCACTGTGCTCAGGTGCCAGCAAGCTGGCGTGCTGCATGGCGACATTAAGGATGAAAATCTGCTGATCGATAAGAAGACCGGCCAGCTGATACTGATTGATTTCGGATCCGGTTCATGGCTGAAGGAGAGTGTCTACACGGTATTTGATGGTAAGTTCGACTGCTGTGGTTTTCGATTTGCATGTCTGGAGCGTGGCTGATCAATTGCATGTACGCGGGTATCAATACCTCATATGCCACTTTTTCATTGGTGATCAAGGTGTATGGGTACGGGACTCCCTCGTTCCACTTCCTAAACCTTGCATTTGTGTGTGAACCAAAGTTACTGTCTCAGGCTATGATAGTTTTTTTTTGTCTCAAGACCAGTAGCACCAGCTCGTTCGAACAAATGCTATTACAATTTACATGCAGTATACCTGACACTGGCCTGCGAATGGGTTTTCTTACTGGGGGTTACCTGTTTGGTTCCACATCATTTGAAAGCAGCCTTCGCCATTATTCTACCATTACTGGGTCGTAAGTCGAGTTGTAAAAATACACTTGCTCCCAGGCTGCCTTTGTAGCTCGCGTGCGTGCAGAGATATCTGTGCCATTGTTCTGACACCATGCAATGTCACTGAACTTGTCCAGACTGCATCGTTGTCCCCAAGCTCAATGGCCTTTGTTGGACACACTGGCTACACTAAGGGAATGGCTGGTGGACAAGTATCTAACCACAGTTGCCATCTGTTTTGGTTTGAATAGAATGCTAAAGGCTGTATAGCGGCGTCAGGGCTAGGATTAACCTTTGTCATGTTATTGTCCTCAAATCTCAGCGCTGTCAAACTTGTGCAAACCTTGTAAAATGTGCATCTATTGGTTGATATTATAAAGCAAGAGCATATAAAGAAGGATAGCAGATAAACCTTCTTTATATGCTCTTGATATTATCAACAGCTAATAAACACATAGTGTACAACGGAAAAACGGGAAAATAGTGCTATTTCACGGCAATATTATTCTACTTTGCCTGCGAGTCTAGAATAATTTTATGGTATTGCATTAAGCAGAATTCTTTGCTCTCTAAAACAAGACCAACCGCTTGTCAATACGATACTCCTAGGCTGAGATATTGGCTCGTAAACTCCCCCTCCCACAGGCCTCACGGCGCCTCGCATCCACAATATTCACTATCCTTCTCGCCTTTTGCGGGTTAGGAAAGTCGCTTCGTGAGAGTTCGGTTTTTTCCGCGATAACTTTATGAATGAACGGCGTTTCGGTTATCATCGGTGACTTTCGGGGGCGTCGCCTATGCCCTTATCTCCCATTATCTTTCAACCCTGAGACCTACTTTTATCTTTCCTAGCACGGCTAATGCCCGTTATGATGGAGCCGGCTATGTTTTCTAAATTAAGTCTCTACAACGCAGCTCAGTTACTATATGGTGTAGTAAGAGTACCAAATTTGGGCATGTGACATCAATTATCAGCGCTCCAGGCGGCGACGGAAAACGATAGCCAGACCCGCAAAAGGCGAGAAGGATAGTGAATAGTGTGGATGCGAGGCGGCGTGAGGCCTGTAGGAGGCATGATTACGCTCCAATATCTATAGCGGTTGGTCTTATTTTAGAGAGCAAAGAATGCTGCTTAACGCAATACCATGAACTTAGTCTAGAACCGAATACAAAGTAGAATAATATTGCCGTAAAATATCACTATGTTCCCGTTGTACACTCTAGGTATTTATTAGCTCTTGATATTATGTACACAGGAAGTGTGCACCTATCGGTTGATTGGCGTACACGTAAAATATGCGCCTATATCGTCATATGACAGTGACGGTATCTAAAAGCAACCTCTCGCATGCCGTGCAGCTTATTGTATGAGATGCTAAACGCGTTGCCATGGCAAGCAATGTTTGTTTGGAAGATTGGGGGTTTCGTGGAAGCTGAGCCGTGTACGTGTGCCGCTAGCGAAGCCACGTGGGATGATGAATCGATGCATGACGCCACGGCGAACTTCCTTTTAGCTGCGATTTCACAACTCCTACCCACGTGCTGCCGACCGCGTGTGTACTAGCTCTCCGCGCTTGTAAACAGTATAGGGCTCGAGACAAATCAATAATCTTCTTGCAATTACAGCCGTAGGCTGCGGAGGTGTTGTGTCAGAGCATATTTCGCTCGCAGAGGGTGGGTGTGTTCTAGCTTAGTGCTTACGTCGTTCATTGCTGAGAGGCTGGTCTCTGATGGGATCACCAGTAGCTGTGGCATCTCGTGCGGGCGGGGGGTTGATCGACACACGAAGTGCGCAGTTTCTAGAACGAGGAAGCCACTGCCGTTTTTCCGTTGGGAACGAGTCCGTGGCGTCGCGCACGCTCGCACTCATTGAGTAACACTCGCTAATCCTACTGAATGCTCGTGAATGCGCAAAAACTGTGCCGTCACGGTGCATATAACAATCGCACGCGTGCTCGCCTCTTCCTGACCTCGCCGCCTCACATGACATGCAGCGTCCCCACCTCACCCCCGGCGCGTGACTCACGCTCCGATAAGTTCAGGCCGCTCCTGGGTGGTGCCCGAGCGACTCGAATGAACTTTCCGCGAATTCTGGCAGGCGGCGCTAGCGAGTTCCATGCTAAAGGTCGCGTGTGACGTACATGTGCGCGCACACACACACTCCGGTTCTCCACCTCCGTCAGACATCCCGGTAAATACGGCGGGAGATGCTGCGCATGCATTGTTTAGCGATCCGATGTCGAAATTCTGAGAAGGATGGTGAATCGTGATTGCGATGAGGATTGCGTGGGCAAGTGTCGAGTGGCGTGTAATGTCATCGTCGCAAAGCCTGCACAGTTACGTGATAGTTGATCACGGTAGCCAGTATTCCCTGCCTCTCCCTCCCTCTGCCTGTCTCTCCCCCCCCCCTCTGTTTGTCTGTCTCTCTCGCGCGCTCTCTCTCTCTCTCTCTCTCTCTCTCTCTCTCTCTCTCTCTCTCTCTCTCTCTGCCTGTTCCTTTCTCTCTTTTCGGGCTGTATCTTTCTTTTTCACTCGCATGGGAGGCAGCACATTGAGACGCCAGTGTTACTGGATATTAAACGTGTTACCCTTTCACTAGCTGCGACATCATCTAATGGTCTGGGAAAGGCATCTCTGTCATTGCTCTAGCGTCGACATCATCTGGTAAATTTCTCTGACCTCGGTTGCCTGTTTCGGTAGCAGTTTACGGATGTGGGAACTTTTAGGAATGTCTACGTCTGATTGCTACGGCATCTGCAGGTTCATTGGGAAATTACATTAATTTCCTACACACACCTGCGTAGCTGCCTCTGAGCACGTAGATAAGATCCATAGGCAGTGCTTGAATCATATGCTGTCTCTGCTAGAGCATGAGTAGACTGCAGCGAATCTTGACACGTGAGCAGTGAATTAGGCGATATAGTGAAGTCCGCTTTATAGTAAGTTGTCAGCTAGAGAACGGAACTGGTTCGCGCTGGTAGTGCGCGATGCGCAGCGGGCTGGTAAACCTAGCCTGATAATTTTGTCCATGGGGTGCTTGCACTATTTTTCACCTTGAGCTACCCCGAACAAAGGTCGTAATGAAAGGTGCAAGGCAGTGTATACGGACGCGCGTATCGGGTGACGTGTCCGACCTTCCAGGCTCGCGGGTTTGGTCTGGTTCCGGTCACTGACCACTGGTCAGCAGCTATTTTCGGCTGCGGCACGGTGTAAACAGGCTCTGTGGGGAGAATACGCGCAGCGGGAGGGGCGGTGGAGTTTGGAAATCTCCTTGCGCGGCCATCCATCCAGGGCGTCTGTTCTACCGACTGTCTTTCAACATCCTAATCCGATGATGGGTCTAATACTCATGAGTGGTCGTAGCCATTTGTCTCTCGAGGTGTGGGAGGGGGTGCGGCGGCGCCATGGTCGGCAACTGAGCATCATGTTATCAGTGTTTAATTAATTACAGCGGTGTAATTTCGGCTCCCATGCATACACTTTCCCAACAGAAGCACATTTGCGCACGCACTCTTGACATTTGTTGTGACTGAGGTTGCGTTGCTACCACACATGACATGCCGTGACCCCTGCCTGCCTCCTCTCACTATCGACTGGCTCGTAGCAGTCCGATAAGCCTCTACTGCCTTCGCGCGATGGCACCGTGCCAGAGCTCCAAACTGCTCCACTGACCAGACGGTGGGGGTGAGTGGCTCATAAAGGCGATTTCACAGTGACAGCGATTTACCGTTTCTGGCCGCGTACTGCCTGTCACCGGTGCCGAAGTGTTCTACTGCTTCTACACCGCCTATTATTTGCCCGGGGGCATGGCTGGAGTGAATATTATATTATTAAAAGCACACTGCGCGCAATTAATATCCATACAACCCCAGATTGCGAATTGCGCACTCCCCGCGTACGCGCGAGAGAGTGATATAGCTGTGCTGCGTAGTGCCAGGAACGGCACGCGTTCATGAATACATATATTAGGCGTGTGGTTTTACCCTGCGCAAATGCGACGGCTCCCGTTGAGAATGTAGGGCTTAGAGCTGTCTCTGAAGCCATGCTCGTACCATTTTAAAATAACTGCAATAATTCCACAGGGTTGTGACGCACGGGAAACAACAGTCTGTTGTCATTGTTGAGTTATTGAAATATTTTCGATTTTTTCGAGTGTTATTGGCAGTTTTATGTTGTTGAATGTTGTCGAGTCTTTTTTACAGTTATATGCAGTTACCACGTGATTTGAAGTGTAGTGAAGAGCCGTGTTTGATACATGTACACCTTTATTCAATGCTGAATCACATATTTCGAGCACTAATTTATTACCTGTGCCAATATTATCCAGTTTCAATCCTTACCATTTTATTACAAATACATACTTATACATTTAAAAACAAATTATCTCTTCTACTCTACGCAGGTACGAGAGTGTACAGCCCACCCGAGTGGATAAAGTATCGGCGCTACTACGCACGCAGCTCTACCGTGTGGTCACTAGGCATACTACTTTACGATATGGTATGCGGCGACATCCCATTCGAAGAAGATCGACAGATCGTCAAGTGTGACTTGAAGTTTCGAACACGTCTACCTGCTGGTAAGTAATCATCAGTCTTATACGAGCCAGTTATTTTTAAGTCTATGGGTAACAGTGAATGCTGTTACTCGCATGTTGTTAACCAAAGTTGATCCCATTTGGCGTTTTAATACATTTCGGTTTATTACTATTAGGCCATGTACGGTTACATGCGGTTGTGCGATGCGATCAGTGAGTAACGAATATGGCTCCTTTTAATACCTTGAAGTTGAGCTAGTGGCTACGATTTCTGCAATTGTGAAACTATTCAAGATCGGCCCGACACATTGCATGCTGCAATCATACAGCATCATATTACATGCATTTCTTTGGTGCCAGCTGTCCCGGCTCTAGCGTTTTATTGCACCCCATCATTGTAGTACACATGTCTTTGCGCATGCCCTGTCTAAGTGTATGTCCATCTGAGACTCCGGGCATCACGTGACTGATTTGATTCGGTAATCATAGTGATTGCATTCCCCTAGGCGCGAATCCCATAACGTCGTCATAGAAACGTGCTCATCTGTCTGATTAGAGATTGCGTGGGTTTTACCTACCTTTAGTGTGTCAGCCGTGTTGTAACGGCTTAGTGAGTGACTGGCCTTCAGTCAGTAGCCTCCGTCGGTGTTTAAGCAGTTGCTGTTGCTATATCCTCGAGGCAAACGAGTTTCGTTATATTGTGAGCAAGGCAGGTGTCTGATATGTTGGTAGGCAGGACAAAAGTGCATGTAGGACACATTGGAAAGATGCGGCGGGAGGGGTGCTATTAACATGCTGGTAGTTCTGTAATCGCTCTACCTATTCTTACGCAGTTGTCTGCGATCTAGCTGTAGCCAGTGAAACTGGACGAACGGCCTACATCTGGCTGGAATTGCTCAGTCATCCGCGAAAGGGGTGCAACACCGTTAACCCCTTAGTCTAAGCTAGAACCTGTCTAGTTTTCCGGCCGACCTTGTGTGAAACATGCATACTTGCTAGCATTGAGGCGCTGCCGCGTGTAGCCTGACAGAGCTTGCCACAAATAAAAGGCGTTCTAGGCCAGCGTTGTCTTCTGCGTTAGAGACTGACCCAATTCCACGGGACGTTGTAACACTGCAGTGGTACAGCCACGCTAGTCGATGGCTGGCGTGTGCTCTACATCCAGCCGCCTAGTAATTGCCTACCCAGAATAAAACAGGGCAATAGGTGATCGCCTGTGCTAAGTGACCTTCTTTGCGTGGTTATATCGAAATGAGAGCAGAATTGTACATTGCGGGGCGGTGTGGTGGGAACGGATGAGTGTTGCACATCACTCTGGAATGGGTTGCGGTAGTGTCTATTGGGAGATGTATGCAAACAATCAGAACTACAATACTAATGGCTCGTAATAAGCCTTTGAATAATTGCTTCGATAGAATGACAGTATTCAGGGCAGACTGAGTTGCAAAATACAAAGTGCTTACTAATGGAAAGCAAGCAGTAGCAAGCTATACAATAGAAATCCATTGGCTAGTTACAGGAATTATTTCGTGAATAACTGCACAGTGAAGAAAAATAGAGCAAAATATAGTCCCCCCAAACATGTTACTAATTACTCCAGTATTAAAATTACCATGAGTTTGTGCTGTTATGGTATATTTCACAACAGATATCAATAGTTGCATATTTTGATAAATGACGATGTACGAGGTGTTCTAAGACACGTTAGTCTTACTTTAGACAGTTGCTGTTACGCAAGCAATACCATTGTATTGTATACCAAGTATTGTAATGGTCGGAAAAATATGAGAACGGGCCAGCAGACTGTTTTAAAGCATCACTTTGAATAAGGTTACAATGTCTATTCACTTGTTTTGTTGTAAAACTAAACTCGTATTCATTTCTCACTGTTCTTCGCTGTAATAATGTGTTAATAATTCCCCGTTCACTTGTTTCGCTGCAGATTTGAAGGATTTGATCAGACAGTGCCTATTGTATCGGCCGAACGACCGACCGTCTCTAGAGGACATTCTTGGTCACCCGTGGATGCAGGACGGTCAGTCGGACATCGAGAGCAAGATGCGGCGAAACGTCACGTGTCGCTCCCTTGACCAATCGTCGACGAGCAGTGCCGAGAGCCTGTAACGCGACGAGAGCATCATCGGTGGGCCGATTCTGGCGATGTCTCAACCGCCGCCGAGAATTGCGCAGACGACAATCGCGATCGGGCAACGGCAGCGCCGCCTGGCGCTCGGCCGGAGGAACTAGAGCCTGGAAGTATTTACGACTCGGCACGTCACTCGCGTGGTTGTGAGCACACTTCCCCGGCGACTCCCGATAGCCGGAGTCGGGTGGGGAGATCCAAGTGCAGGAAGCTGGAACAATTGGCCGCAAGAAAGATGTGGACAGTCGAGATATGTGATATATTACATTGTGAGGCGGCGTGTGCTCGGGAACACTCACGCGTATAGTAAAGCAAGTCTTTCAATCTCTTCAGTGCGGGGATCGGTGCGGAGGCACGCGGTTCGTGCGCACTCGGAGCGGGGCCTGTGCACGAATCGATGTAAGAACGAAGTGCCAACGTCTGCGAGGGTAAAGTGATTTGTGGACGACGGAAGGTCCGGACAAGCATCTACGTTACGTACAGCGCTCGGAACTCGAGTGACCGTTGTCACTGTTGGTCAGTTTGGAGGATGTGTTGATCGCATAGATAGCGGTCAAGGACCGTAACGTGTAGTCTAGCCACGAAAGGCTTCTTAATCTCGAAAACATTTAGTCCCTGCATCAGCTATTCGTCAGTCTGATCCAGTCCCCACCAATTTGCCGGTCCTCTCTGACTATACTCTCACTCTCAGCCCTTGTCAGCCAATGTCTTTCCCAGAAATAGGATTCGAGGTTAAGTTATATTCAGCCAGTGTTGTCTCGAATGTACTAAAATAATTGAGTGCAGTATCTATCACCTGATAATGACAACTCTGCGTATTTCATTGTGTTTGCACCTTTGTGTGTGTGTGCGTGCGTGCGTGCGTGTGTGTGGGTGGGTGGGTGTGTGTGTGTGTGTGTGTGTGTGTGTGTGTGTGTGTGTGTGCGTGCGTGCGTGCGTGTGTGCGTGCGTGCGTGCGTGTGTGTGTGTGTGTGTGTGTGTGTGTGTGTGTGTGTGTGTGCGTGTGTGCGTGCGTGTGCGTGTGCGTGCGTGGGTTCGGAGTGTGTACTTTTCTGTGCTTTCTCTGGCCTAGTTGTCAGTACCTTTTCGGATGTCGCAAGAGTTGTTTAAGCCGCATAGTGGGAGACGTATGACCCAGCGACCCATGTGTGCTTTCATGAATAGGTGCACAGTAGCACAGCGGGTTTCTGCTAATTCGCATGAAGCCCGTTGATGTTAGTGGCACTGCTGGTGCTAGGGGAAGATGCGAAATTCACCATGTTCTCTCGTCGTCGTGGTGGTGGTACACTCGAAGCATTGCTCAATATTTTTACAAAGAATAAATCGCGTTTTATACGAGAAATGAAACGCGGTTGAGAGAAAGGGGGAGGGGGGTTTACACGACATTTGCCAACGATGCATTTTTTATGGTTGCCATCGTTGTGATTCGATGCTATAATCTTAATATCATCGGAAGCAATGATCCGTTTTAGGCAATGTAACTTTAATTTAATTTTGTGTGTACCACTGCGTATGACATGTATTTGTACTGCAGCTATTACAGTGTAAATTTTATTCGCCTATATATACAGTGTAAATACAGTGTATACAGTGTAGCTGAGATCACCCGCACGTATTTTATTGTACTGTAAACTGCTTATTTAACTTGATATACAAATAACGTTTTTACGCAGATCCATGTAAATAGTGTAACTTAACAGACAAAAGAGATTTATATATTTTACCATAATAGTAACGAGAGAGAGAGAGAGGGGGGAGCGTTGAGGGCTCCTGATAGAGAGAATGTGTATATTTTGTTATGGAGAACCCAAAGCGAGATTAGTTTTAACGGAAACCGACTTGTCTGTTAATTATATTTTAGAACGCGTTCAACATATTTAACACACATGCATATATATATAATCTGTGCATATCTGTTTGTTTGTTGTGTGTCTTACATTCGGGCGACATTTTTTTTCATATGTCTAATCGCAATATTCAAATTACCGATGGGGGTGCACCCGTTGATTGTAACAGCCGAACGCGGCGTGTATATACATTGATTCGTCTTGCAGCCGGTTTGAGGGGCGTGCAAGTACACGAAAAGATGATGCTAAAATAGCTATAATACATTCCGATGGGTGCAGTCTCATGTTCATATAGACTCTCACGTACTAAAGTTACTGTAAATACGTTGTAAATTTCGATAAACTTTAATATTGTTAACTTATTTTGAAATGAGAATTGAGACGTGACTGCAAATACCTCTCTCTAAGCATTACGTCGCTCGCGGGTCACTTTTCGTATTGTTTATTCGTTCGCGTATATTTTTAACATGGCATTGACCTTAATGGTCGTGTTGCAGATTGGCTTCCTACGCTTTGTTTTTAACTAATATAGCTATGTATAGTGTATAAAAGACTTTACGACGGATGGTTGTGAAAAAGTTGTATTTTTTTATTGTAAAATGATTCGAATTGTAATTTAAATGTATTAGTATCACATGATTTGCTTTAGGAAATAAAAATCCACGTTTGTAAATGTACTCACAGTGTTTGCGAGCTTCCTGTGGTTTGTGGCGTTATTTTGCGGGAGTTTTCAGTTGGCGCGAACATTCAATTACTCGTTTTGCAGTTATCAATCCCATTGTTATCAAATTGTTATTGTTATCTTACAATTATCAATCATAGGATATCAACGGTTAAATGGTTATGACTTATCAACTTACATTTATAAATGATATATATAATATTATTTTATAGTAAACAACAATCAATATATATATATATTATACATATAGTATTAACGGTATAATTAATATAATATTACCGCACATGCGCACACACGCACGCACGCACGCACGCACGCACGCACTTCCCGTTATTTATGTTACAGTTATCAAATTCAAATTTTATCTAAACGGGACATAGAATGTTATAATACAACGCTCTCATTGCGGATGCGCACAGAGACCACTTTCACTTCGCGATAAATCAAGAAGGGAAAAAAACAAGAACTGAAATTCAAAATAACGACAACAGATTTCACGCCCACGGCCTTCAGCAATACAATCTCTGTCTGTGAATCAGCTATTCGTTGTGTAAACCTAACGTGTACCTAGCTCCACCCTTATTGAACCGCCCCGTTCACAAAGTCTATAGATCGCCTGTCGGGTGTATCTCCAGCAACCTTGGTGCGTCAGCGCGTTTAAATGCTGATGTAGTCGTTCATGCACATTGCTTGTGGTGGCTCACCTTGCGCCAGAGCTGGCTGTCAAACATAGTGAGGTTAGTACTTAGTAACTCCACGCTTCGTGCTGATGACATGCAAATCTCTTGATAGCAAAAGTGCGCGCGCCTTTTTCACCTTGATCCCGCCAAAGGTGAATTGTTAAAGACACGGGCATATTCGTCCCAGCTAGTCATGCATACATACTAAATGCACGCACTGTGAGTGTTGTCATTATACCTATACTTAAGCCCCTTTTCAGTCATTTAAGCCTATGGTTATTATATAAGGTAAGGTAGGTCAGGTAAGCAATAGGTGAGTTAACGACTAAGATGGATGGCGTGGTATGGTTCCAGTTTTATGTTATACCCCGCCAGAAACGAAGAGGACTAACTAATGGCAGCTGTTTTACCAAATGTTTAATGGTTTTTAGTTGTTTGCTGGTTGGTAATCTTTGTTATACAGTCATGGCGAGGTCGTAGTAAATGTCTAGAAGGCACGTACTGACATGTGATCTAATAACTAACTCATCACACGAACTCTATCTAAACAGTCGTAACGCGGAAATCCGTAACGCGAATCACGTTCTTCTATTGAATCATATCATATATAGGGGATGTGCTCCCACGGAAAATTCTGAGCTAAAAGATGTGCTAGGTAATTTATTATGAATGCAGGTAGACATGACCAAACGCATAAATTGGTTATTTATTGATATACCACAGTATCGGGGTAATATACTGGGGGTGGAAAGAGAGTTCAGAATTAGAATGACAGCTGGGAGAGAAAGAGAGAGAGCTAGCTAGAAGCCCCAATGCCGGTTGGATGGCTTTCTTTTGTTATAATTTGTTTATATTTTGGCATTACCTTTGATATAAACAGAATTATATAGATAAAAATAAAAGAATAATATAAATATATATATATATATATATGACCAAGAGCTAATAATACCTATTATTATCATTATTATTATTATTATTATTTTTATTTTATTTTTATTATTATTAGCTCTTGATATCACCCATATTGTACGCGTATGGGCACACATTTAACGAAGAAGAAAATTACAAAATTACGGGGTCCAAAAATATGTTGTTATTGGAACAAATAGTGAGGAGGCATAATACTTTCACGAAATGCGGAGGAGGGGGGAGTCCTGGCTGCATAAGGGAGATTTAGACAAGAATGTAAGAACAAGGCATCACAAACCCGTGTATATTCTTTACGAGACAGACCGACCCTTGCGGACTAGGTCATGAATGTAGTAGGCTTATAGTATGAGATGGAAATGTTCTTGTGGTTTACCACTAGTCGTGGGCGGACGCTAATGATGTGGCTCGGGTGGCAATGTTGCTATATCTATGTAGCGCTAATGAGCGCCTTAGCTAGACCCTACCTCTTCCACTGTCACGACCACAACCTACCATCACTCTTTTCCTTACACTATCTAGCCGCTAAAACGTACCACTATTACATCGCGAGCGTACGCACATGCGTGTATTTATGGTGTGAACAGAAAGTGAGGCGGTGAGAGTGTGGAGGAGAGGGTGTGTGTGTGCGTGTGTGCGTGTGTTCGTGTATGCGTACGTGGATAAGTGCTTGTCTGCATTCATGCGTGCGTGCGTGCGTGTGTGTTTCTGCGTGCGTGTAGTGAAAGAGAGAGCGTAGAGGAAGTAGGCAGATAATTATGTAATCATCGTCACACTCGCACGTTCGCACGTTCGCGTGTGCCTTTCAACTATAGCCATGCACCGTGCGCAGCTACGGTGCATGAGTAATCCACAAATATTCATACGTAAGTACCGGCATGAGTTGTTGATAATCCGTCCTTCACGCCCTCCTTATTTCCTCGTTTCATATCGCAGTGATTTCGTGTTTATGTACATGCACGGAGCGATCACCGGAGGTGACTAATCATCCGCAGTAGCGCGGTCATATTTATTCAGGCACCGCGGTTATAGGAGTCGCACTACCGTAACCGCACCGTGGTTGTTTGACCTCTCCACCGTGAAAACGCATAGACGCAACGAGGAGAACTTTGGTCGCCGACATATATTGGCAGAGATTTCGCGCCGGCGTGCCTCGTGAGATATATTTCGCATCGGGAACAGCGCGGTACTATTTTGAGATCATCTGAGGGATAGCTCAAATAAGCTCGCGCAATGACGCTGGGGGTCCGTGCGTCCGTCCGTGCGTCCGTCCGTGTGTCCGTCCGTTCGTCCAGTCGTCCGTTCGTGCGTCCGTGCGTCTATGTGTCCGTCCGTTCGTGCGTCCGTGTGTCCGTGTGTCCGTCCGTTCGTGCGTCCGTTTGTTCGTGCGTCCGTGTGTCCGTTCGTTCATCCGGTCGTGCGTCCGTGCGTCCGTCCGTTCGTCCGGTCGTGCGTCCGTGTGTCCGTGTGTGCGTCTGTTCGTGCGTGCGTCCGTTCGTGAATCTGTAAGTCCGTCCGTTTGTACGTTCGTCCGTTTATGCGTTCGTGCTTCCGTGCGTTCGTGTGTCCGTGCGTTCGTGGGGGCGTTAACAATATCGGCACACATCTAAACGACTTACTGCACGTACGTTGTTGATATTTGTTACGTAGGGGGGGCAGCCTGAGACAATGCCGAGAGATCAACGAGAAAATCTGGAAGTCATCGGAAAGGGAAATAATACATTATATTCCCCCTAACTTAATGTATAGGTCTAGCAATCAGAAAACGCAGAATTACGGCACAAATGTAAATGGGCTTGACCTACGCTCCGATATTGAAGTTTACGGAGTCATGGTTAGCAGATATGTATTACTTTGGAAAAATTTGAGATCACAGAGTCAACGTGCAGATTTCCTATCTCTTTTCTTCTATTTTTGGAAAATATGGGCTGACGGACCGAGTGGAAATTCGTTTTGTTTCAGTGCTAAACTACCATTATAATTACTTTATTGAAAGGGCGATGAAATGTATTTTCCACTAATGTCAGAATAATAGTTGTCCGGTGATATTTTGACCTTCAATTGGAGGGTGAAGCATTGATTTAGGTTAAGCATGTTACTTGTATGAGATTCATTGCGTACGTCATATTCTGTAAATATCATAGCACCATATCTTATATGATTATCTATCCTAGATCATATATCTATATTATATCAGCATATATCTTGTCTTTGCAGATTTGTTGCAGTCATTTGTTGCTGTTTTTGCACATTGCTGTTTAGTCACAGCTGCATGGGCAAGTGTTAGCTGTCGAGCGCCAGAAATACGCAAATTCGTAGCCCTGTTTTGCATCGTGTTCGGTGCCGAATTTTCTACTTTATTGTGCGTTTAAACTGAGTCTAAAAATTGCCAAATCTAAACATCACAAATTCAAAATAACGAAGGATAACTGCTATCGTATTTGTCTCTCGTACACTTGCACCGGC